AACACCCCCCCCCCCCCCCCCCCCCATCCAATTTCAGTCAGCGTGCTTGGGACTTGCCTCTTCAACCTAACCTTTGCCAAGAGTCACAAGCTCATATCTAGAAACAGTCAATCCACCTCCATCCTCACAAGTTTTACTGCAAAAACTGCGTTCACAGTCTAGCTTTTATGCCTCCATAACATATGGGAAATTGTGAAGCTGAAAAGAAAAAAAAGCCAATCCAAGGAGTCACCCACTTTTTTCACCCACCCCTCCAAAGCCCTCAGTGTCCTGGAATTGGGTGATTTCTGTCACCATCCTAATCACCTCTACAGTGCTACAGGACATGACTACCAGCCAGCTCCACATCAGCTTTCAACTTGCCCGCTCTCTCAAAAGACGGCTCAATTTTTGCAGCAGTTTTGTAGTTGCTATCCTTGAGCAACTAGGGCAATATGGCTCAAATTCTGAATACAGACTTCGTACCATTCAGAAAGCCATGGGAAGGCAAGATGAGAAGAGGAGGACTGTGTGGTATTGTATTTTCCTTTCTCAGGTTTATCTTGGGACAACGGGAGAGACGGCAACCTTACAAAGCGTTGGCAAGAACTATGAAAAATAAGGTTTTAACCCACTTGTTCATGAATTAAATGGATAAAGCAAATTACTGTCATACAGAAACTATTAAAAACAGTTGCATTATGAATTTGTAATTAAATAACAGAGATCTAGAAAAGCACTGGTTTTTCAGAAGGCAAACGAACATAATCATATGGGAGACAGAAGTACACAGAAGGACTGTAAATAGTCCTTACTGCGTAGTCTATATTTATAATTAAGTCAGCATACACTTCCATCACATCACTCTGGTTTTGCAGCCTGTAATTTTACTCCCAAAACCGACAGTGGAAATGAGAAATATGGCACCTAGCATTTCAGGGTAAGAAGCTGGTTTCCATGTTTTTTACTCTGGATTCAGACATAGTGGAAGCTGCCACAAACAGCCCAGGAAAGCGCATTGGGGCAAAAGACGTGACTACCAGGAGAAGCCCTTTCAAGCCCTGGCAAGCGGCCTTAATTACAGAAAGAACTCATGTTGCTATTTCAGGTAAAAATAACCACAGATAAATATTCAAGCCCACCAGCGATCCGTATCGCTGCGCGCAAGAAGTGTTTTCATTTACCCAGAAGCTCTGTTAGATTACCTCAGCACTGTTGGGTACAGTTCAGATGTATAAATATACACGATGTTGAAAGCGGCGCTGACCATCATTTTTCCACACAAAGCTAACAAAGTGGGACTGAGGAATGGACCTTTCAGGGAAGAGAAAATAAGCTGTAAGCATAAATAGTCTGTTTTCGTAGGCTTTTTACACAAGGTTGAAAACATCCAGTTCTCTTTAAGAGACCATCACACAAAAACATTTCATCTATATGTTTTTCAACCACAAGCACAAAAGCGATTATCTCAGTTCTCTGCAACCATCCCGAGAGCTAGCATAAGAACAGATACATTTAGACATTACCAAAAATCTTAGACATTAGCAAAAATTTCTTCCCCAAAAGGGCTGTCAAGCACTGGAAGGGGCTGCCCAGGGAAGTGGTGGAGTCCCCATCCCTGGAGGTATTTACAGGCTGGGCAGACGAGGTGCTGAGGGACAGGGTTTAGTAGTGGGATGGCAGGGTTAGGGTAACGGTTGGACTTGATGATCTTAAAGGGCTTTTCCAACCTCAATGACTCTATGATTCTATAAAGTTATAGTTAGGACCAAGAAAATCTGCCTGCTTTTTTTGGGAAAGTGTAAAACAATCACAGTTCTAGAAGGAAGGAGTAATGCTTCCAGCTCTGCAGTCATAACTCCTTACCAGGTAACCACATCTTCTGATGAGCACAGACAGACAATACAACCTCCCTGACTAATTTATTAGATTAAAGCCACAAAACTTGGTACACCTCAACAGCTTCTTTGCTCCCCTAGGACATCCTCTTGGGACTTAAAATGCAGCAGCTCTGTAACTGGGGCGACCAAATGCTAATGCAGCCCAGTTTACCAACAGACTGTCTTTAGTTGGCCAAACTGAAGTGTGGTTCTTTTAAAGTCCATAAGAAACCTGGCTTGTGTTATCCTGATTTTGAATATGGTTACATTTGCAGCATCCATTTTAATACAAAGAGAATTTCATATCATTTTTTTAAGCATGAAAAAAAGAATGACTGCTCTGATTTAGCTGTATCTCAGGTTCTCTTCCTCAGCACTGAGCTCAGCATGTTTCGGTTCAGATCAAATGATGTTAAGTAACAGGAAAGCCCAATTGCTTCTCAGTTGCTTTTCTTTTAATTTTGCCCTCGAATATTTTCAGTTCTGTCCATCTGATCGAGTCAGATTCTATTTCAGCTGAAGCAGAAATTCATTTGTACGTAAACTGAAATCCAGAAACTTAATTTCTTTAAGCATGATGCATTTTTGCAATTATTTCTGTAATTCATGCAAAACAGATGCAACATTTTCATCCAAGTTCTCCTTTTGCTCAGTAAGAACTGGAGTATTACATACAGTTGCCAGATGCAAAGGTGCAAACCTGGTCCTCAGAGCCCTGCTGGGTGCCGTCAGAAAGCCGGGACATCCCTTTTCTTCCATCAACCAAACACGAAGCGATGAATAAGATATTACTTGTAGTTCTCCAATGTGTTATAAAACTTGCTGGTTTTCTCCCAGGGAGACTTACATTGAACATTGCGTATCTCCGTACTACAAATTCAGCATTAGTGCACTCGGGAAGTTTTGGTCTTACTATCAAAACAGCAGGAGTCTGTCTAGACAGAGAAATTGGCACTCAGAAGCTCGGGAGCGAATTTAAAAAGCAGTCTTCTCTGGGTTCCCTCCCTCAGGGGAGGCTGAAGGCTGGCCACATGGGGAATTACGGTGGGATTAGAAGCGCACTGGAAATTCACTGCACATCAGCTTCCTTGTGTAAGCAAGTCCAGACACAGTCATTATGTTTTCCTCGGAGTCTTGGAACGTATTTTTAGCAATTCTCGCAGAACAGTCCATTATTTTCTTTACATATATAAAATTATGCCATTAAGCAGGAAGGCACTTTCTCCTGTGAGGATTCTGTGACCGTTTATAGGTCATGCTCTAGGTCCAGCCAAGCATGCCCACGCAGCATCTTTAACTCTTCTATTACATTTTCGCCTAACACCCTGTCACCTGAACATCCAGTAGCAGCATCTGCACGCAATTCTGCCTGAAACTGTACAGTCGGGGCAACCGTTTCAAGTTTTGGTAAAAGGCAAAGTTGTAAGTTTGCACTAAATTAATGCCTTTGAGTTTTATTGATTATTCCTGATCTTCCATTAATTGATCTTTTGAACTCAGGGAAGTAAAAGGGGGGGAAATGGTAACAAACAGTGCTGATGTTTAAGAGCTTCTAGAAAAGGAGTTACAAGTTTTAATGCCAACACTGCTATGAAGAGTCTCATTCGTAGTGCCGTTTCTAGATTCACCTTCTGGCTGTCATCCTCATAGGTAAAACTTCACCTAAACAGTACTTTCGAAACCAAAGGAGTCTTTAAAATTTGTAAACTATCCGCCAAGAAAGGTTAGTTCTCAACAAAAGGAAACACTCAATATTAACAAAAGCTGAGAGAATTGATTTAAAGGCCTGCAAATTTTCTTTCCTTCTTCAGTGGAAAGCATATCAATGAAAGCCACAGGAAGTTGTTATGTGTTCAGCACAAGCAGATAAATCTAGATGACAGTTAAAATCTAGTTACCCCTAGCTGAAAAGTCTCCTTTGCTTGCTATATGGTATAAAGCAGGTACAAAATGCAGAATTCTTTGTGCTTTGTAGCAGCTTTTGAAAGAAAAAGAATATTACAGCTCCGTTCCCCCGCTGCTGCCACTCTCCCTCACCACCTTCCAATCTCATACTCACACAAATTAATTGATGAGTTCTAAGTGATAAAGAAAGAGGGAGCTGAGGGATATATCAGTTTTTAATTAACCATTGGGAGAGTTTTAGTCTCAAATTCAGTGCACATCTTCAATAACTGAAACGCTCTTGGCTTATTCCACAGGGGAGATGACTCGGATCAGATTCTCATTCGCCAGTGAGCAGAGTTATTTAGAAATCAAGCGAAGGTTACAGACACGAGAGGCAAGTGCCCAATATCTCATTAAAATCTTAAATCCCTTGTAATAAAAACAAGGCTCTTGTCAATCACTCCAAAGAACACCGGCTTAGACAAACATAAGAAGCGTTCTCCTTAGTAACAGGAGGGTCAGATTAGAGGTGCGACGACCCTCATTTCATCCAGCGACTTGACTCATCTTCATCATGCTTGAAGCTGAATTTCTTCCTACTTAACTGACACCGATCACTCTGGACCAAGAACCAGCTTTACTCTTACCACAGTGTAAGTAAGGTGTTCTAACGGGATTAAAGTCAACTCAACTGGAAAAGGCCAAAGATTCCCTGAAATTTAGCAACTCTTCAGGAATTATTACCCTATCCTGATTAGTCACCACTGCTTTTCTTTCGTTTTGTTTTAAAAAGTATAAAAAGAAGCAGAAAGAGCAAACTTGTTAGAACAAAGGAAGAAAACAGTCTCAATAACAGGAGTAACAAAATGTCCGAGGACATGCATTAACACAAGCATGACAAATAGGATTATGGGATATTTTCTCTCTCTCTGTTTTTCTTCCTGAGACTTTTCCAAAGATCAATTTTAAATGGATGCCAGACAGCATTTACCACTGTTAAGGATAAACCCAACCTATAGGCAGTTACCTTGTAATCACATCACTGGTGCTGCTGGGTCAAAACACTGCCAAAGCTAAAACATTTCTACTGAAGGAATAATAAGCAAACTACAAGCAGAGGGCAGCCACTTCTAGTTGGTAGCATCATACAGACAGACATTTTCAGTAGCTAAAAATAAATATTCTTACAGAAAAACTGTACTTGAAATGGAAAGAAAAGTGAAAATACAAAAACATATGTGAATGTCACTGACAACGTTAGAACAAGCACAACTTGTGAGATGAGAATTGCACTTGATGGTACTCCACTGTGACCATGAACTGTCCTCACAACTGCACAGCTCAGCAATGCACAGCACGAGATGGAGAAAGGCACCAAGCTTCTGGCCATCCCTGTGGCTTCCATGGGGCCACTCTGACTTCCATTTCTGATTTTCAAGTACGAAATATGTATTTTTAAAGCTTTAGTGGTTTGGGGTTTTCTAATTGGGGTTTTCTAAATTAAGCTTCTAATTCAGGAAAATATCAGTTTCTATATCTATAAATGCCACATGCCACCAAAACAAATGTAAAATTACATTACATTACATGGCATCTCACACTGTCAAGATCCAAACTAACATTGCACTGCATTGCAGTTCGGCTATTAAGCTGTTTACCTTAAAATACTGGATTTAAGTGATAAATTAATGCAGTGTTTGTAACGTCAGTATTTGAGACAGAATGTGATAGCTTGACTGACCTTCAAAGAGCCAAGAGCTTGCAGTCAGACGAACTTCATTGATTTAACAGGGTCAAATTATAGCAGCAAGAAGTTAAAAGCAACATAGACAAGACCATGGCTCCCTGCCCAGCCCCAGAAGGAAGGGATAGAGAAAGAAAGAGGCATAAATGGATAGAGCTTTAAGCCCCGATATACTCGGTCAAAAAATACTCATTAAGTTGTTTTGTCAGCTTTTAGCCGAATTAATGGACATCTACTTCAGCAGCAGTACATACTTACCAGCATTTGTTGGTAAAAACATGGTAAATATACAGGCAAAACCTGCAAACATCAGAAAACACGTCATAGTTTTACGTCTTCCAGACCTAGAAGGAAAGAGCACCCAGATAAAGATGGAAACAAAGTCCTTCAGTATTTTTTTAATTTGTCCGCGCAATACCGACTAATGTACACAGCAGCATTAATAAGTTAGAAATCTTCTGTACCTTGTCAAGTGCTTCAAATCTTGCATTATTTTTCCTCATTCTGTGTACTGAAGTCCGCCCACAAAAGCTTTCCTATTTCTAGCCAATTTTTGATTTTTAAGCTATTGAATTTGTAGCCTTGAGAAGAACCCCCCTATTTCAGCAACAACTCAGACCTTTTTTTTCTTCCCTGTACTGAGCAAGGCAGCGGGCCCTGTCACCAAAAGGGTGTTACAGTGCATAGACACAAAGACCAAATGAATGAAAATGTAATTCCAGCACTTCCCAATCTGTATTTGTCTTTCACAAGTTTGCATAAATATATGCAGTTATGACACACAGTAAAACTATTTTGTACCCTTTCCCGTCTAACAGAGCACACACTGAAATAAGCCAAGGCCATTCCTACTGCTGAGTGTGTTTAAAGTAAAAGAGAAGATGACGGGATAGAAAAATCACCAGCCCATCTCCACATCTGCCGCACCTAAATATTTCATAATTATTTGCAAAGGACCAGAAACAAAGATATTCTTAGTTTGCAGGCATGCAGAGGTACTACACATGCTTGTTGCTTGATGAACTCTCACAGCTATTTCTAACTACTGCCCCATACTGGTAGAACTCCAGTTTGTCTACAACAGCCATACGATGCTTGTTTTTCAAATCTTCTAAGTATTTTTGCAACAACAAACCTGTACTTTAAGGATACTGCTCACTAAAACTGAGCGATAACAGAGCAGCTGGCTTGTCACATTCCCTTTTGCATTAAGCACCTAAACCTGCACGTATCCTTACTTCAGGAAAACAAAAGCTTGACATTTACAGTGACTTTGTCTAATTATCAAGGGGGTAAAAAAAGTAGAAAAGGACTTGTGCATTTTGTGGTTTAACTGCATGTCCTCGACTCGGGCTTCTTGGGCTTCAGGTGAAGGTTGGCTGGTGGTTTTGCTTTTTAGCTTGACCCAGCTGACAGCTTTTTACTGGCCAAGAAACCCAAAAGGTGACATCCTCACCTGACCAAAGAAATGGGATTTTTGCCACTGACCTCAGTGAGACCCAAGTACCATTACAAAGATACTCAAACCAAAGGTTACATGAAACCCTGGGTAGCTCTGGGTTGCCAGACTGTTCAGCCTTTGGAAGTAAGCACCCACGTAAAGGGATGGCCTCCAAATACACTGAAAAGCATGAATATACACGGACATCAATCATTAATGCCTTAACAAAAACTGAAGAGCTCTCACTTCCAAGTTCTCTTTGTAAGGTTTAAGTAAAAATGAACAATGCTGAAAAGTGCTTTCAGCTGCAGTTGGTAGGCAGTACAAAACCAAGTCATTCTGCATAAAATACAGAAGAGATACATATAAGCTAGAGACACTTAAATAAATAGGCTACTCGCATTTTTTCCATAAAGACCAAACTTTTTTTAATAACATTAATCACTGAAAAGCTAATCTCGAGTAATTCAAAAGATGAACAAAACTAAAAAAGAGAAGAGGTAGAAAAGCAGAGTCCCATTTCCATACCAACTGCAAAAACCCCTGCAGCGGCATAAATCCCCAAAGAATCAACGCTGTCTAGCAAAAAAGTGAAGTGTCCTACTGAGAAAAATGTTATTATTTTTCCAGGCTATCTACAAATATATGTAGCACACTAGGAAATAAGTTTTTCTTACCAGGATTTCTCAATAAAAAACATGCAGAGAGGAAATGCCGGAACTTCTACAAGACCAGTAAGAGCCACATTTAAATACAGATTTCCTCTTAATTCACCAGCATTTAGAGTTAGTCCATAGTACACAAAGCTGCAGACGTACCTAGAAATAACCGTAAAAGTTATATTACTAACACAACTAGTCTTTAGGGCTAAGAAAGTATTTAAAAGGTAAATTACACAGAGTTATGGATTAGCTATATTGAGTTACATGCTAGGTGGAGAACTCTTTTTTTTTTTTTTTTTTCCCCCCAAAAAGTGAAACAAGACAAAGAGAATACCTATTTAATTAAAGTAACTTCCTGAAAGAAAGCAAATGCTCCTATATATGCACAGTATAACTTTCAGAATTTTCTATTAGCTTCATT